GGCAGCCATTACAGATGAACATGTGTTTGTTGTTGTTCCAGCAGCGGCCCTGTCACACGCTAATGTCATTAGTTTGTTATCATTACTGAGCTGCAGGACTACTTTTCCCCTTTTTTTCACATCATGTCGCCTGCCTGGATCTGTTATTATTTCGCTCTCTGAAGCACGGAGGAGTGTCACAGGTGAGCTAGTTTCAACTGATTTTTATGACGCGGTCTCAGGGTCATTTCTGGACTCAGGCAATTTGTGAATGAAGCCGATATTTCAGTTAAAATACACAAGTAAAAATATTTATCCAAGTAGAGTACTACCCCCCAACTTTATGGATGATTTTATGGATTTAATTTTACGTATTATACTTGAATAAATACGGTAAGTACTTTTTGTACCTCTACTAAAATTAGAAACATCTTGTCCAAAAACGATGCAGAAAAACTGATCCATGTCTAGACTGGATTACTGTAATTCTCTATTATCTGGGCATCCAAAAAACTCTTTAAGAAGTCTTCAGTTAATCCAAAATGCAGAGTTTTAATGAGAGYTGGAAGGAGAKATCATATTTCTCCAGTTTTAGYTTCTCTCCACTGGCTCCCTGTCAAATTCAGAATAGAATTTAAAATATTCCTCCTAACATATAAAGCTCTTAACAACCAAGCTCCATCATATATTAAACATCTTATTGTTCCATACTTTCCTAACAGAGCACTTCACTCTCAGACTGCAGGTTTACTTGTGGTTCCTGGAGTTTCTAAAAGTAGAATGGGAGGCAGAGCTTTCAGGTATCAAGCTCCTCTCTTGTGGAACCAACTTCCAGTTTCTGACTGTGAGGCTGACACTCTGTCTACTTTTAAGATTAGACTGAAGACTTTCCTTTTTGATAAATCCTATAGTTAGACTTAGGTTTCCTGAGTTATTCTTCATTTCTGCTGCTATAGACAGACTGCTGGAGCACAAACTGAGCACATTTCCTCACTCTGCTGTTGTCTTTAGTCTCTCTTCTCTACATGTTTGGGTTTATTTAAGTTATTTTCATGTTTTTGTCTTTGTTTTTTCTCACAAAGGAACCACACCACTTCCTGTTTGTCTGTGTCCGCCCGTTCTGGTTCTGCTGGAGGTTTTTTCCTGTTCAAAGGGAGTTGTTTCTGCTGCTCAGAATGGGTTACAGTTAGTGACAAAGTGAATATTCAACACATTCTGCTACTTCTTTGAATAAATACTTTTTACTAATTAACATTTTACACTTTTTCACTTTTATGTGAATATTTTTTGACCTGAGATAATTTTTGCTGTGAGCTGGTTTTACTGTGTAGAAATGAACTAAAATAAGCCAAGTTTACTTTATTTTCAAGGTTTGATTATCACGTCTCAACATGAGATGAAACTCATTATCAGCAGCGGAYGATATGCATTCCTCCAAAGGATGCTTGGCCTTTGATTTGATTTGATTTATTTATTTAACAGGAAAAGATTATTAAAAATCAAGCCTGACTCAGCATAATTGCTGTTTTACAGCAGGTTCCTGTTCTGCAGCACATAAAACACTCAGAAATACAGCATCTCAATCACATCATTATACACCATAGACACAAAGACAAACAAGCATACCAAATTTCAAAAAGGCAGCATTTGCAAAATAGGACGTCTAAATATGAGCACAACAAAAAGTGTCCAGCAGATGGCAGACAAGAGTCTGTAGTTTTGAAATGGACTTTATGTTTTGAGGAATGCCATTCCATGCTTTAGTATAAACATAGAAGAAAGACCTCTGGCYGTAACAGTTTTTAAAAGTTGGTAATATCAGTTGTCCTTTTGGAACAGATCTAGTTGAATGACCACTTCCAGAATTTGATTTGGGCAGCAATGCACAGAGTGTTCCATAATTTAATATTTAGATATTTGTTTTTCTCTTCTTCTTGTCATCAAAGCATAAAAAGTGACATTTATTGTAAACCAGATGTAGGGGTCACAGATAATTTCAGTGTGTGTTGCTGTTTGAAGCTCACCAAAGAAGTGGATAACGAAGCCGTTTCCRTAGCCGTAGATGTTGGTGGCCGGGTCCGACTGGAACTGGATGGTGACGTCTGCAGAAGATGTGTAGAGCTTGAAGCGGGACTTTGACCCTCCGTACTGACCCAACATTTTAGCTGTTAGGTCATCTCCATCATAAAAAGTTAGCAGGTCATTCTTTCCCGTGTTCAGCCTGTAGAAAACACAGTCTGTTGTTAAAGGTTTGATCTGCAGATCCTCTAAACCAGGGGTCTGCAACCTGTGGCTCGGGGGCCGCATGTGGCTCTTTGGTCCCTCTGCAGTGGCTCTTTGAAAATGTGACCAAAAATAACGGAATTATTATTATTATTATTATTACTATTATTATTTTATTATTATTTTTTGGTTTTTATACCCACAATAGAAATTATTTGTATGCAAATATGTGATAAATACTACTAATACAAAAAGTAAAACGTGTTGATTAGCTCATGCTAGCCTGTTTACTTAAATAATCCAACTTTCTATGATCTTTCTCTCAAATCCATCAGAATTACCTTTAAAGATTTTGAAGACAACATCATAATAAGTATTATAAAAAACATGCCTTAATAGTTCAGTTGTACTAGTTTTTTTTTTAAATTTGGTATAAACTATGCACAGTATTTTCTTGTTTACATGAATATAGACTTTTAATTTGTCCCTATGTGTAAAAATAATAATAAATAATAACATTCACAATATATTTTTTAGTTTTATAATGTCACCTCCACTGGCCAGGAAAGGTTCCTGAAAAGGCCTCGAAAAGGCCCACGGACCACCAGTTGATAATGACAGTTGTAGCTTGTTTTGCGGCTCCAGACACATTTTATTAGTGTATCGAGTAGCAGAAATGGCTCTTTTCAATATAAAGGTTGCAGACCCCTGCTCTAAACTCATATTTTATTCAGAACAGAGGGATACATCAAGTGTTGAAGCTAAGTTGGACAATTTAAAGAATTAAACTCTCCAAATAGTTTTCCACAGTGAGACACTATCCTGTGAGCATCACTTTGTCTGAAGTGAGTCTTAMACACATCAAGTACCTGACTGACAGTCCTACAGGTCAGAGCAGGTCTGAAAATACCAGGAGTTTGGTTTGAGCTTCAGTTTCTGAGCATCCTTTGCATCTGTTTTGTCTCAGAATTGGACTCAAAAAGCAAACAGCCTGTTGGTCCAAACAAGACCACACAGTTTAACAGGTCTGAGTAGTTTGTTTGTGTCACATCATGGTCTAAAAATCTAAACCTGACCTTCAACCACAAACACAACAGGAGAAGTGACAGAATAAACTGTTAAAATAGTCTCTCAATGAGGTCAAAGACTCTCCTTCAAACTGCAGGACTGATTTTTGACTGTATTCATGCTGAGTCAGCACAAGTCTTCTTTTGGTTTTTGGCGATCTAATGGTTTCTGCACATTTTGTGCTGATTTAGTTTTTCAAATTAACTCAGCAATCTGCTCAGGGCTCAGCAGATTGTGTTTATCTGTGACTCTTACATTGGTGTCATATTCTCTGAAAGTACACGTGGCAGCACACTTCATAACGTAAAATTTTGTAAAAAGGAGAATAAAGGCTTGACGGACAAACAAAAAATTTTAATGGAGCAGCCAGAACGGAGGTAGAACGCACAGGGGCCGGTGTACAGGTGTTACACCATATTTTGTGACCATCATATATTGTGACCAGAGGGGGCGCTGTTGCATTTCTACAACAGAACTTGGCTGAACATGGTCACAAAGAAGAATATGTTACGCCAAAAGTGTAGCCTTTGATTGGAGGCTRAAGACACATACGCAAAAAAATACTGATATACAGTACATGGTCACAGAATATGAYAGCTGTTGTCRTATATTGTGACTTCACTGTAGCTTGGTAAGTAGTAACAATATTTATTTAAAACTGTTTCTACTCATTGTTTACATCAACAAAAACAATAAAAAAATCAACAATCAGCAGATGCAGTTTTTTTTAAATAAATATTGTTACTATTTACCAAGCTACAGTGGTCACAATACTGTGTATGATTACAGGTATCATATTCTGTGACCCTGTAATAATTTAATAACACTCAATATTTCAGTGGTCAAAAGATATTTTTCTGATATTAGATGATGTAAACTATCTTCAAAAACAGTTTTAAATAAATATTTTTACTATTTACCAAGCTACAGTGAAGTCACAATATATGATAGCAGCTGTCATATTCTGACCATGTATATCAGTCAACATGTTTTATTTTTATTTTATTTCTTTTTAATTTTTTGCGTATGTGTCTTCAGTCTCTGATCAAAGGCTTCACTTTTGGCGTAACATAGTCTTCTTTGTGCCCATGTTCGGCCAGGTTCTGTTGCAGAAACGCAACAGCGCCCCCTCTGGTCACAATATATGACGGTCACAAAATACGGTGTAACACCTGTTTCATGCGAGCACCCACATGCCGTGTTTAACGTGTCAACTAAACCTAGCTTGACACTGCAGGAYGAGAAATGAACCAAAACTGGTAATAAAATTTATCATTTAAAGGCCTAGCAACCCTTAAAGACGTGCAATATTTACATAAGTTAATCAGTTGTATTTGTTCATCAAGTATTATTTTCAGAGTTTCTTTAAAGTCCATTCTGTGAAAAAGAGAGTTGAAATAATTTTATTATGCCAAGCACTGAAGTCAGAACAATWAGAAACACAATGAGCAGATTAGTTTCATTATTTACAGCTAATTCTCTAACATCCTGTGAAGATGACAGTATTTGTCAGGCTGAATTACGTCTCTCTCTATTAAAGCTGAGAGGTGAAGAACAGCTTCAAATCTYAGGCTTTTGTTGAACAGTCACCTGAGGCTGAAGCTTCTGACTGTAGAGAGGAACTTTGGAGTTTGAATATMCAGAATAAAGCGGTGACACGCTCTCTGCTGTGGCTAATTAATCACCAGTGACTCCTGATAAAACTCATTAAGCAGCCTGAGATGAAGCTATTAATCACTGTGGGAAGTCAACAGTTTACTGTTACAGTTTTTATGTCACAGTGTGATGATGGTGACTTATTACACCGTGGGCACAATCATTAAACCTGTGAGGTTTTAGATTAGATCATCAGTTTTATGGATATTTTCCAACTCCAGGCAGTAAAAACCTGCGTATTGGACTGGAGTGTCAGGTGATGAGTATTTATGCTGCAAATACCACAAAAATTAGGAAAAAAATACAAATTAACTGCTGAAAATCTAAGAGTCAAAGTTGAATCCACCAGGAGTTTATCATTATTCAGAGCTGTCAGAGTCCAGGACTGAGTTTAATAACTATTTATTATAAACCTTGCAGGAAATGTAGCAAGAATAGTAACTACAACCAARTCCTGACAGAGAGAAAGGCAGGTCCTGAAGTCTGCAGGAACAAAGTCTAATCAATACACACCCTGTGGGTGTCATCATGTGGMAGAAGCACAGCATATTTCACCTGTGTGATGTTTAAAATCAGATTTTTGTGTTATAGTAACATTTTTAACAAATCATTGTAAGAACAATATATTCATCATCATCATCAAAGCATGAGTTTGTAAATGATCAAATTCTTTAAATCARTTTAACCATAATAGTGGTCAACCATAGGGGTAGGTCTCCAGTCCATCACAGAGACCCACATGGAGACAGACACCATTCACTCTCTCACTCACACCTAGGGAAAATTWAGAGTTACCAAATAACCTAACAGTCATGTTTTTKTTCTGTGGGAGGMAGCCGGAGTACCMGGAGAAGTTTTATATTCAATCTAATTGTTAGCATTACAGAATGTATACTATACGTCCAAAAGAAGGTTCCACTAGAATTATTTTATTCCATTTTCAGTATATTGTGACCTTGTTGCCAMAGTTTTCAAAAATTTTGGAAAAAMCGTTTTTGACCAGATTAGATCATTTGTTGATAAACAAAATGTTTTAAGTAGAAATCAACATGGTTTTAGAGCTGGTAGTTCTACATCAGTGGCTCTCATGGACTTAGTAGAACAAATAACTGGTACGTTAGTGTTTATGTTGAGCAAAAGAAAGCATTCAACACCATTGATCACAGTATTCTTCTTTAAAATTTGAACAAATATGGCATGAGGTCCGGTATTAACGTAGGTATCAAGTTTTTTGACAAATAGGAAACAGTTTGTACAAATGTAAATGATGTAAGATCTGAACTTTGTAATATTGCACGTGGGGTTCCACAGGGTTTAGTACTTAGACAGAAGTTGTTTATTTTATACGTGAAGGACTTGGTAAATGTGTTTTATTTGCAGATGACACTACATTTTTCTGCTTGGATAAAAATATAGAACAGATGTTGGAGATGATGCAAACAGAATTTGTAAAAATGCAAACCTGTTTAACACTTAATAGATTATCATTAATTCTGGACAAAACTAATTAAATAATATTCAGTAATAGAAAGAGAACTGTCGATGTTTCATTTAGAGTTGAAAATGTTAAGATTTGTAGAGTCAGTGTGGTGACGTTTCTGAGTGTTATCTTTGATGAAAACCTGACATGGAAACCTCATATAAATTACTTAAGAACAAAAAAAGCCAAATCCATTGCAGTACTGCATAAGTTAAATGAGTTATTTAATGATAAAGCACTGTTTATATTATATAATGTGATAATTGTTCCACATTTGATTTATTGTATAGAAGTCTGGGAGAAAGCTTGTAAAACAATTACAAATCCTATTTTTTTAATTTGCAGAAAAAAGCTGTAAGAATAATCACCAGAAAATATTACTATCACCCATCAAATACATTATTCTTTTTCCATTGAAGTTAATTTTATGAGTTGGTTGACTACAATATTTTGCAGGTCATGTATAAGGCTCATAAAAATTGATTAACTTCAAACATTCAATTATATTTTGTTAAGAGAGAAAGTTGTTATAATGTTAAGGGACTTGAGATGTTTGTAAAACCTTGAACAAATTTGAAGGATCGATGTACTTCAGTCCAAGGAATAAGATTATGGAATAATCTGGAAAGTGATTATAAAAAGGCTGGTTCATTTAATTTGTTTAAGAGAATGATAAGGGTTGGTTTGTTGGAGAGATTTAAGGTTGTTTAATGTGTTTTTATAGAAATTACTGTTTGAGGAATTGAAGTTTTTGTTTTGTTCTATTATTGGATAAATATGGTTTTAAATTAATGTAATTTTTTTTAAAATAGGGTCAGATATTATAAGATTTTTGTTTTGTTCTATTATTGGATAAATATGGTTTTAAATTAATGTAATTTTTTTTAAAATAGGGTCAGATAATATAAGATCTTTTTCTTGTTCTGCTGCCTTTCATTTTATTTTATTTGTATTGTTTTTTATGCAATGTTTTGTTTTTTTAAATGAAATGAATAAATACTATAAAATAGGGTTAGCCCAGCATCTAGTCACATCCTTTTAAAGGGTACACCCCCATCTTATCCAGATTACGACCCACAGTTGTGTAGCCTGACCAGAGAGCTATAATCTAGAGACCCTAAATTAACTGCAACTCTCCTATATGATAGCAGCCCTTGGTAATGGCTGGGTTGAGATTTTAGTGGATTGGCTGTGAACCCCAGGGATGTTATTTAAATAATTACTATAATGCTAAAGCAATCTGTAAGATTAATTCTTATTGATTAAAAKAACTCAGAACTTTACCCATTTAACACTAGTGAGATGGTGTAAGAACTGTGAATAACTCCAAAGATTGAATGTCCACACTTGCTTTGTAGAATTTTCTAGTTGTGTGGATTCTCATGTGTTTGTCCAAACTGCCCTTTTTAGTAAACCTCCCATCACACAGCTCACAACAGAATGGTTTCTCTCCTGTGTGGATTCTCATGTGTNTATCAATATAATACATTTACAGCCAATTTTGGAAGCATCATTTGAAAACCCCTGTATCATTCAAATATTACTACATATCAAACAACAAGGATTTTAAAAAGTTGTTTCCCACCCTTGGTCTAAGATATAATTTAACTCAAGTGATAAAGTATCAAAAGACCTCCACATCAGTCAGGTTTAAATGACCAGATGACGCAATTAAAGAGTTTCCTCTGCAGCAAGTTTGAAATGATGTGAGGAGGAAGATAAACCATAAAATAAAACGTTGGTGGAGGATGAGTGTAAAACATGAAGTTATGTTGTGAAGTAAACAACCTGTAAGTTTTCATGGGAACATGCAGTATTTATTTGATAATAAAGTTTATTTGACGTGTTATTTTCCTGTTCAGGAACCTCCTCTCCTGGTACTGGCAGCACTGCTGAATGAACAGTAATTACTTATGTTGTCAGACTTCCTTTCAGAAAGCAGGTGAGACCATTAATCAGCACAGGTGCTTCTCAGAGGGAGAGAGGAGAAAGAAACAGATAAAGAGGCAGCCTATGAAAATGAAACCCACTTAATTTGCTTGCAAATGGCAAATGATTTTCTACAGCTGAGTGGCTTATCAGGCTCTGACACGGCAGGGTGTGCTGCTCTGTGTTCGCCTGGCGGTACGACCAACACTGCAGCTGGAACAGGGAGACACGGGTTCCCAAACAAATCCTTCCAGTTATAATTAGTTTTCCTCACCACACCTAATTAACCTTTGTCTGTGGAGCACGTGCACGTCTCGTTCACAAGCTGAGCACTCTTTCATTAGCACCACGTTGTGTTTTTAATGTGCTCTCGCAGTCACGGTGCGGTGGCTCTTTGTTTTTCTCAGAACTGTTTCTGCAGCTTCAGACTAGTGTTTATGTCAGCACAGGTGGTAAACATCTAAGGTAACACACATGTCACGCACTTCCTGTGGAAGGAGGATACGCACACTCGGATGTCCAACATGATCCTCTTGTCTTCTTCTACATGAATTCCCCAGATGCAGTCCTGTCCCTTGTCATAAGCTTCAGGCCAGTTAGGAGAGAGGACAACCCCAGCTGAGTCTGTGATCTCACCACTGCACACAGCTGGAACACAGAACACAGTATATGAGGAACAAGATGTTTAAAACAAACTCTTAAGTCAAGGCAAACTTCAAATTACCTTCTCCTCATCCTGTTAAGGCTGAGTCAAACTACAAGATTTTAAAACAGTCAGCCGATTTTCAAAGACTGAGAGACACACGTGAGGATAAAAAATCATGGATCTACCAGGTTTGGTCCTACAGTGTGTGGTAAACAGACACACGGCAAGAGAAAACACACCACACATGAAAAAATATTTCATTCATGATTCAGATGTCAGGTATTAAATCACCTGAGACTTCCTGAAATCTCGTGAGAATTCAGATGTCTGAGGAAAAATCTCACGTGACCTCCAGAGAGACGTGAGTTCAGAGTAAATAAACATTTGCAACAAGGAAGAAACAATGTGGATCACTTGTGGACTATTTTTACCAGAGGAGAAACAATTCCACAGGACTTTTAACATCCAGCAGACTTTCTGCTGAGTCATGACAGTTTTTTTTGGTCTTCTGGAATCCCCTCCGCGTTTACGTCACCTCGCTTTCTGATTGGCTACACGTCTCATTCAACAGGCTGAGAGCTCGGATGAACACTACACACACTGTGATATCGGGCCAAAAAATCAAACGTTGAATATCCCCGATTTGAGGTCGGAGCGGTCCCAACGTCCTCCCGAGCTGACTAGATCACTCTTAACTCACCATCCATGGCAGGAATGTCTGCTCAGATTATCTTTAGAGCCGATAAGATAATCTGGACTTCCTTAAGATTGTCGGAAGGGCAAAAATCGGCCTGATTTTCTTTTACTGTGATGCCGGTGTTATACGAAATTCAGTTCCCTTGTGAAAATCTGTTCCCCCTGTGTCGGGAGGACTGGACCAGTGATTCTCTCTAAGGTTAACCAGTAGGGGGGAACAGATTTTCACAGGGGAACTGGATTTCGCACAACACCGGCCTTGGAAGATGGCTGGATGCAGAAAGTGCAACAGACCTTTTGCACATTTCTGTTAAAATGCATGTGCACACGGGGTTTCCGCGCATTCACCTGAAGCAGGAGGGATCATTCGCTGTGCCAGTTGAGTGTTTATATTTTTCCAATGATAGCAGTGGGTAAAAATGACTTTTGAAGTGTGTATAATTGTTCGAGGCAACGTGACAGAGTAAAAGATAAAAGAGAAGCTTGCTCCTTTTACCAAATTCATCTAGGAAAGTTGAGCAAAGCTGCTACTAGAAGAAAGCTGCGGCTCAATGCGCTTCACCATCATGATTTTTTTTTTCCTTCGGTCATGACTTCACAAGAGCAGTGTGGTTTTGGGCCTAGTCATGGAACAGCAGACCAGCTCTACACCCTCAGCAGGGTCCTGAAGGGTGCATGGGAGTTCACCCAACCAGTCTACATCTGTTTTGTGGACTTGAAGGCGTTTGGCCRTCTTCCTCTGGGTCCTGTGGGGAGTACTCCGGGAGTATGGGGTACCAGGCCCGTTGATATGGGCTGTTAGGTCCCTGAATGACCAGTGCCAGAGCTTGGTCCACATTGCCAGTAGTAAGTCGGACTTGTTTCCGGTGAGTTGGACTCCAACAAGGCTGCCCTTTGTCACCAATTCTGTTCATAACTTTTATGGACAGAATTTCTAGGCACAGCCAAGGTGTTGAGGGGATCCTTTTTGGTGACCTTAGGATCACATCTCTGCTTTTTGCAGATGATGTGGTCTTATTGGCTTCATCAGATCGTGATCTCCAGCTATCGCTAGAGCGGTTCGCAGCTGAGTGTGAAGCGGCCGGGATGAGAATCAGTGCCCCCAAATCCAAGACCATGGTCTTGAGCTGGAAAATGGTAGGGTGCCTTCTCCGGGTCGGGGAGGAGGTCCTRCCCCAAGTGGAGGAGTTTAAGTATCTCAGGGTCTTGTTCATGAATGAGGGAAGAATGGAGCAGGAGATSGACAGGCGGATTGGTGCTGCATCTGCAGTGATGCGGGCGYTGTACYGGTCTGTCGTGGTGAAGTGGGAGCTGAGCCAGAAGGTGAAGCTCTCAGTTTACCAGTCGGTCTACGTTCCTACCCTCATCTATGGCCAAGAGCTTTGGGTAGTGACTGAAAGAACAAGATTGCAGATACAAGCGGCCGAAATGGGTTTCCTTCGCAGGGTGTCTGGGCTCTCCCTTAGAGATAGGGTGAGAAGCTCAGTCATCCAGGAGGGACTCAGAGTAGAGCTGCTGCTCCTCCATGTCGAGAGGAGCCAGTTGAGGTGGCTCGGGCATCTGGTTAGGATGCCTCCTGGACGCCTCACTGGTGAGGTGTTCCGGGCACGTCCCACTGGAAGGACACCCAGAGGAAGACCCAGGACACGCTGGAGGGACTATGTTTCTCAGCTGGCCTGGGAACACCTTGGGATTCCCCCAGGATGAGCTGGCCCAAGTGGCTAGGGAGAGAGAAGTCTGGGTCTCTCTGCTGCTGCCCCCGAGACCCAACCCCGGATAAGCGTCAGAAAACAGACGGACGGACGGACTTCACTCCGATGAAATGTGTAATCAGCATTTTGTTTCTGGTATGGGAATCAATGATCCAAACCCTGGATTACATTCCTACGCTACATCTTGGATTCGCAAAACAAGACAAAAGAGAGATCAACCTCCCGCAGCAAATGCTACTGAACAACTGTGAAGAAATACCATGTGAGTTAAATGTCCTCAAAACACATATTTGTGTGTGTGTGTGTGTGTATGTGTGTGTGTTTTTGTGAAGTTAACCACACATGAATGTGTGTCTCTAAACATACAGTACACGATAACGCAATAGCTAAACAGTAAACACCAGTAAATGCAACGGCTCTCACCGACTTAAATGGCTTGTTTCGGCAACCGTCTTCTTTGACACGCTGGCCCCCATCAACAGTTGCTTCACAATAACATCCTCTCGGATCTGCGGCACACTTTCCAGGGATTTTGTCCATTTGTTGTCCACAATTTTCCTACACCACGCATGGACATAACTCGCCATCGACACTTCGCTTTTTTTCAATTTATATTCCGCCTACATCCGATTTTTGCAGGCACATGGTATTTCGCCAATCAAAACGTACATTTCATGCATGCTTTAGAAGGTCTATTTGTAAAGAAATTTACTGGTGAGTGTTAACTCAGTGGAGTGCAACTAAATGCAGAAGAGGGGCAGAGTGAAAAAGCTCACATTAAATCCTAAAAGAAAACTGGTGAGCAGAGTAGTAACCATGCGACAGACAGACTGGAGTTGTGTTTCTGACAGCTCAGGAAACTGTGACAGCACATACAGACCTCTGCAGGCTGGCTCAGTATCATTCCACTGAGGGTCGTTGGGACTGATGCACTCGATGGTGACAGAGCCTTGTTCCAGAGTGTAGCCAGGATCACAGGCAAACTCCACCACAGCTCCCAGTCCCCATGTGACATCGCTGCTGGTCAGGTTTCCATACTTCACAAAGGGTTCATAGCAGTGGCCAGYAGCAAGGGCTGCAGAGACAAAAATAATGATGTTTAGAGAAGAAAAGCAATCAACCCTACAAGTATTGTTCATTGTTATTCATTACATAACACAGCATCGTTCTTACAGGCTACATGCCTAACATACTGGGCACTTATATGGTAATATACATTGTACTTACAGGACAACACAACCATGACCCTAAACCTGAGTTGTAGACCAAACTATGACTTATGGATACTGTTACATACAGTAAACATGCATGTTGTCACCTCCAGTGGTGGGCAGCGCTAATCCAAAAATTAGCKCCGCAATTTTTAAAGCGCTTATGAAAATATTTAGGTCCRCAAYCTCAAAAGAGCTTATGCCATAGAAAAACTAGCAGAAGCTAATTTTAAAGCGCAAGTTCAATTTGACACTTACTAGCTGGCAATAATTTATRTCCAATCTATGCACAACACAGCCAACTAGCCCAACTAGCAGTGTTTGAACCCTTTTACAGCTTATTCGTACAACTGCCGATTGCTGGGGATGTGAGTTCCGGAAACAGACCTTTGGCTCCTGGTGTAAAAATTAAAAAGTTGTTG